TCTTGGCCTCGTTGCTCGCATTGGCCCGTTAGGATTTGGGAGACCAACTTCCATTATCCTTCGTTTGAGGTCGCCCTTCTCCGCTTGGTGCAACTTCCACCACCGGATTCTCCTCTCGGTTCTAACCCTTGTCTTCTTGGGAAGGTCTATGGCAATGTCTGCCAGGAGGGGCCTGTGCTGAGCCATTGCTTCGCCAGGTAGTACCCTGGTGTTCTTGATGAGTGATCTTCTTACGAGCACATGGTCGACTTCAGTGGGCAGCGGCCAGGTCCGGCATCCTCTCGCCTCAGAGTTCTTCAGTTCATCTGCTATGGTCAGGTAGTCGCCTTTCGGAATCGATCTGATGGCATCGTCAAGGCTCATGTAGAACTCGTCCTTCTCACTCTCGGGGCATCCGGTTGCGGTGCGTACACGGAGAGTATTGTCCAGTACCCCTCCTTCGTGTCTATCCTCACAGCCATGATCCGATCGCTGATCCTGTTCACAGCGGAGACATAGTCCTTGAGCGACTCCGCTACCGCTATGGCCACGCCGTTCCGCTTGGTGTCTTCTCCATTGTAGTAGAGTTTGACACCTTCCCCGATTTCCCTGGCCTTAGCACCTTTCCATCGCGTCTCCTGAAGGCATAGGACTTGGATTTTCTGCGCGTCATCAGATCAGCAACCTCTCGGGACCTTCCAGTTAGCGGCTCTACATTTGATTCCCAAATCGAACTAGCTTCCTGGCCTAGGCCGCTTTACAAGTGACGTCCTAGCTTTGTTACTGATTTTTTTCGACTCCAAGCATATGTTCACGGGAGTCTTCATCAGCCGGCCTGTCAACCTGGGCCTGACGCTGGTACTAGAACCATTTTTGCAATTTTTGCAAGGCATGGTTTAGAGCCTCGGCAGGGATCGAACTCGCGGTTTTTTCAGAGCAGACATGAGTCTACACTCTTAACCAATCGGCCATCCCTGCCTGCCATAAATAGCAGTAATAATAGGGATAACGAGATTAGTGTGTTTCTTTTGATGACTTAAACTTTTTTGACCTTGGTCATTGTCACATTTCTCAACTGTTTCTTGTGAGTCCTCATTTTCCTTTGTTCAGATAACAAGCCAAGAAAACATAGTCGTACCAAAAGGCAAGTTTTTTCTTGATTTTATTTGCATAGTATTCATGACAAGACTTTGGGTGTGTTGTTTAAAGGAGGACATGCTGTTCAACTATTGTGATGCTGTTAACAAAGGGGAACACGTCTAAACCTGTTACGGATGCTGAACCGGCAGGCAGCTAACAAAGCAAAAAAAGTTCTGACGAATTGTTGGAGTAAGGGGCAGCATGATACTATAGTTGTTTGGCTGGACCGAAAGAAAACATATCAGAAGCTATGATATCTGCTTGAATCAACAGTCCCAGCAGGGTCTGTGGCTTTCAATACTATGGGATTGAAGGATGCACTAGCCCTATGGAGAACATATGAAGTGTAATTGTAAAGAAAACTCACCTGGGAAAGCCGCAAAAAGGGCGTAAACTCCTCAAAGATGGGTGTGGTTGGAAATTCTTCGGGAACGCCCACTTGCCAGCCGTGATTGGCTGCGGAGGCATTCGTGATCGTTTTGGGACCACAGGGAGTATTTCACTAGGTCCTTAAGAGCAATCAATGTGGTGCTGCAGTTTTTTTTTAGAATTTTTCACAGACCAACGCACTTTTCCCCGCAGATAAGGCAGTTGTACTGCACAACGCATTCAATGGCCCCAAATGCAACTGCTGGCTATTTGCAGCAACTGCAATTGGAGCGCATTTACTGCGGGCAACACTTCCGAGGCGCCCCCTCCTTCATGGCTAAGGGGCGGAGGGTGAGTCCCTGCCTGAGTCCCTCTTCGACGTTTTCTCTTACTCTTTTTCATTATCGGTCAGCTTTTCACCTACAACTTCATTATCGGTGGTTCTCAGCCCGCGAATCCGGTCTGGAATTGCTGCTTTAAGGTTTTGAGCAGTCAAAAGAAATAGAACAGAACAATTTAGATACTTAATAAAACGGAAGAAAGTAGGGAGGAAATGGAAGTGATGCCGTAAAATGAAACTGCGTTGCAATTTTTGACATGATATTGCTTTGTTAGATGCCTGGAAGCTTTAGCAGACATAAGCTCTTTTGGCACATTTCAGTAGTACTTCAGTAGCAAAGTGGTGTCCCCCCGTCGAACAACAGACCCAGTACGACAAGACTTTTCCAGAAGGGAGCAGCGCCAGTAGCGCTGCCTCGAAAGAGAGCAAAG